TACATTTTACATTTGAGGGGAGGAATCTTTTTAAATACAAAGAAAACAAAGGCTGGTGGGTCCTACCTGATGATGGCCATGCCATTCCGGATCTCGTTCCCCAGGACCGCATCCACCAGCCTGAGGACAGAGCCCGAGGCCAGGCAGGCACAGGTATATGAGTTCTGAAGAGACAGTGGGGAGCCAGAGAGGGAGTAAGGGAGAGAGTAGCCTGCCCACTCCGCTACTCCTCCCCAGGATGTGGTGGGCGTGGGGATGGGGAACCCCGGGATTGCCACCACCCTCTGCTCTCACAGTTGTTATCCATACCGGATGCAGGTAAACTGAGTCATAGGTGTCTGCTAGGATGCGGAGCTCTCCTTCATTCATGTACTGGGTCGTTTCCATCAGATCAATGTATTCTAGGCTGGGGACACAGACAGGAGATTCAAGGGCCTGCCTCCCTCCTGGGCCTGAGTCAGGGCCCTGTCTCTTCCCCATCTGAACCCTGGTCAAGTCAGGCCCCCTCAACTGTCAATCTGGGGGGACAGCTGGGATATAGGACATATTCCCTGCTTCTTCCCTAGCCAGCCTCATTTCCAGGAATGTCCCTTGTCCTGTGCTCTCGCCACAATAAATCCTACCCCCAGGCTGTTGGCTGCACTGCTGTGGCTGTCTGTACAGCTCTCCTCTTCATCTGACTCACTCTTTCTCAGCTCAGATCACCCCTCTGCCAAGCTAGCTTTCCTTGAATCACATCACCCCGGGGCCCTCACTCTGGGTTCCTGCAGCCCCACGGGGGGGGACCTCTGATCACTCTGTACACACACCCACCGTCTGTTTACATACTAGATTGTCATAACAATAGCCTCTCGGGGGTTAAGACATGGTGGGCACCATTCTAAGCACCCACCGCATCTCAAACCCTCCCGAGAAACTTCTGTTTGTTTGCTAGCTCCCATGTGATAGGCAAGGACTCTCAGATTCGGAGAGGCTCAGCAACTTGCCCAAGGCCACAGGGCCCATGATATCCCTTCCCAAAGAGTCTGGCCTGCCCTGGTTGGCCCGGGGCAGCCTCCTCCCCACCTCTACAAGGCTCAGAAGCCTTCACCTGTGAACCAACATCAGCTCCTCCTTTTCAGCAAACCGAGCCTGGGGAGACACAAGGAATAAAGGGCTCAGGCACTGGCCGCACCCAAGCTCCACCAGCTCCTGCCCACTACCCACCCAGGGTGTCAGCTGAAGGACTCACCTGGAAGGACACGCAGCGGTCCAGAAGGCCCTCCTGGATCAGCTGTTCCTTGATGGCATGGAGCCGCTCTGGGCCTTCAGGGAAGCTGGGTTGACAAGACATCCAGACACACACACATGCACGCGCACGCGCACGCGCGCACACACACACGGATACGGGTGAGCGGCTCCTCTGCTCTACACATCTTGCCCATCCCCCCTTCCACAGCTGGTCATGTCAGAGACTTTGGAGCCAACCCTGGCACCTGCTCGGCTCTGTTCTCGCAATACATCGAGAGCCTGCCCTCTCCTGTCACCCCCCCTGCTGCCACCAGAACCTCCTGCCCGCGCTCCTGCCCTCAGCTCCTCACTGGCTTCCCTGCTTCCGCCCTTGCTCCCCCAACAGCCCCTTCCTCCACACAGCATTGGCTAAAACCCAAATCAGATCACGTCACTCCTCTACTTAGAACCGCCTTGTGGCTCCCATGTCGCACAGAGGCAAAGCCCAAGTCCTCCGCCTGTTCTGGAAGGCCAGGAACCACCGGCCCCACCGCTTCTCAGACGCCGCCTCCCAGTGCTCTCCCCTCACTCACCCTGCTTCTCCCGCCCTGGCCTCTCCTTGTTCCTTCATCCAACCGAGTACTTTTCAGCTAGTTCCTCTCCCTGCCTAGAACACTCTTCATCCAGGTGTCTCCGTGGCTCACTCCCTCACCTTCCTTCCGATCCCTGCTCAAAGATCGGCGAGGCCTTCCCTGACCATTTTCTGCCACTCTCCCTCCCGCGTCGGTGTCTCTCAATAGCACCTCTCTTGCTAAAGCACTCTATCATTTTACTTTTTGGCTCACTGGCTGTCTTCCCCCTCTAAAATGCAATCTCCGCAAAGGCAGGGGTTCTGTTTGTTTTGTCTATTGCAGTGGCCTTAGCACCTCGGGAGATGGTAGACATGTATGCGATAATGAAGTCTTTTGCCATCACGAGCCTTCTGTTGGGATAGGGGACAGACACACGTAAGTGCGATCACGAACAAATGGTGACACGGACTAGGAATGTCTCAGAGAGCAGGTGTGGGGGAAGGGGAGTGGCCAGAGCCCTCTCTGAGAAAGTCTCTTTGAGATGTGAACATCAACTGCGAGGGGAGGAGGTGGAAACGAGTCTCTGGAAAAGGGGAGCGGCCAGGGTAAAGACCCGAGCTGGCCGAGCACCTGGCCTGGTGGAAGAACAGCAGGGGGACCCGTGTGGGTGAAATGACGTGAAGCGAGTGATTGGCCCATGAAGTCACCAAGGTGCCGGGCCACCAGATCACGTGGTACCTTAGAGGCCAGAATGAAGAATGTGGACTTTACCTTGAGGGCAATGGTGTGCCCTTGAAGGATTTTTAAGAAAGAGAACACAACCGTAACTAATGTAATGCTGTAAGTCAACTATATTTCAGTTGAAAGCTAACTTAAGAAAAAGAAGAGAACGACATCTCGTACCTTTTTTTTTTTTTTTGGCTGCCGTGTGGAGGACAGACAGCGGGGTGAGGGTAGAGGCAGGGGGGCCAGGGAGGAGGCCTCCGCAAGGCCAGGGGAGTGATGGTGGTGGCGGCAGCGGAGGCGGTGAGGGGAGGTCAGGTACTGAACACATTTCCAACATGGAGCCAAAAGAATTTGCTGATGGATTACAACATGTGTGAGCAAATGGGAGGTATAATTCTTCAGGTCTGCATGAATGTCCTTCTTCAAGGAAGCCTTCTGCGAACCCCGGATGCTAGTCTAGGGTCCTCTATCAAACACTCTTGAATCCCCCAGTCTGAAGTCATCCTTCATTAACCACTTCCCACTGCTGTTGGCTGTTTAAAGATTTGCTCTCCTACTCGACTATCGGCTCCTTGAGAAGGGACCCTGTCTGTCCGGTCTGACATGTCTGTACCACCAACTCCCAGACACAGTGCATACTCAGTAAGTGTTGGCCAAATGAAAAGAATCTTTTCAAGCCTAAGCCTCACCTCTCGAAATCATCTGCTTCCAGTCTCTAGGCTAGCAGAAGAATGGCTTCATTCTCGCTAATGGGCTCTAAGAGTGTTTATTTGTGCGGTCAGGGGGACAGCCTGGAGGACGCAGCCTCACCTGTCATCCCAGAGGCAGTGGAATTCATTTAGCTGCTCATCGAACACCAAGCCAGTGCCAGACAGTGTCTTGGCCTCAAGGTTCACATCCTGCAGGGGAAAAAAAAAAGGCGGGGGGAGACACCGATCCAGTTAGGGCCTGAGTCAGAAGGCACGCACCACACTGTCCAGGAGGGAGAACCACAGGGTTCTGATTGTCACAGAAGGCTAAACCCATTGAGGCCAGGCCACTCTCACCAGCTCTTTCAGGCCCACGACTAGGTCTTGCTCTGCTGCTTGGCTGAGCTTCTTCATTCTGCCTTTCTTCTTTAGCTCTGCTAAACTAGGGCTGGAGTGGAGTAAGGCACCCTTCTTAACACCTCGCTTCTGCCAAACAGAGAGAAGGGTCAGATTCCAGCGCACGGCCCACTGCTCCTTTCCACCCCCCACCCCCATCAGGGCAGGTCTGGGGCCTCACCGAGGTGACGCTGGAGTCGTGGGGGGGCGAATGGGGGTTATGCCTACTCCTTCGCTGCCTGGTTGTGGTGGAATCCTGGCCGGTGGAGGTCATGGTCGGGGAGACTTCACCCCTGACGCGGTTCTGGGGAGTGGGGTGGAGGTGACTACGAACCGGCTGAAGTGCCCTGAGGACCCCACCACCGCAGACCCTTCCCAGGCCCCGCCCCCCCCAGTCTCCATCCCTTCTTCTATCCTACTCCCCACCGCCTTCCAAACTCCGCCCCTTTCAAGGCCCTCTCCTTCCACTGGGGTGTCCATTCCACCTGGTCCCGCCCATCCCACTAGACTCCACCCCTTTAACACCATTCTTTCCCCTCGAAACGTCTTGCCCTTTCGCGGAGCAATAAACCCCCGGGCTCAGTCCGTCCTAGGGCCGGCCCTCTCTGGCTGATCACCGCCCTTTCCGCTTGCCCAAGTCCCATTCCTAGACTCCTTCATTCCTCCAAGCTTCGCTAAGACCCCACCCCTTCACAAATCTGCCCCCTCCAGCTAATCTCCCAGGATAATCACCCACCCTTTCACTCAGCCAGACCCAGACCCAGCTCCGGCCCCGACTCCACCCTTAACGATCCACTTAACTCCACCCCTTATCGGGCCGGCCCGGCACCTTCCACTTGGCCAGATCCCGCCCCTAACGTTTCAACGGGCCCCGCTCCTCGGGGGACTGCCCCCTTCCTTCCACCAGATCCCACCTCCTGCTCAAACCCTACCCTCAAGCTCCACCAAACCCCTTCAGTCAGTTTCGGGCCGCCTCCCGCCAGTCCCCTCCCCCTTCCCACCCCCGCAGTCGACACCGACCAATCCCCTCAGCGCCACTCACTGGGCGCAGCCCTTTTCTCAAACTCCGCCCAAGGCTCGCGCCGCCAAATTTCTGGCGACCTGCCGAACGGCGGGTCCTTGAAGCCCTCTTTTTCATTGGACCGGTCTCTCTACTGCCCGCCCCGATCTCGTACACACCGTGTGTCGTGGCACAGGGCCGCGCCCCTTGAGCAGGCCACACCTCTCGCGAGCTCACAAACGCCGTCAGCGCGTCAGCACGTCAGCGCGTCAGTGCGACGCTGGCCGTCCTGCGCCTGCGTGAAGTGCGCGCCGGCGGTTCGAGGCGGTGCTCAGGCTCAAGCTCGCCCCTCCCCCAACCACCGTCGCTGTAGTCCTGGCTGCCGTGACCGCTGTCCCTCCGTCCTTGTCCAGTCACCTTGGGAGTCTTCCGGACCCGCGCCAGTTGTGTCGCACGAGGACTCAAGAGAGCAAGCGAGGGAATTAGGAAGGGGCGTCTCCTCTCCTCCCGGCGGCTTCCCGCGCGGCGCGCTGTGATGACGTAGCGCGGGCGGGCTGGCGACGGGGACCCGGAGCGAGGTTGACACTGGAGGTTGGCTGGTGGCGGCCAAAATGGGAGTGGTGATGATGTTAAATACTGTGAGGATTTTCTTTTTTTTTTTTTAAGATTTTATTTTATTTATTTGACAGAGAACACAAGCAGGGGGAGTGGGAGAGGGAGAAGCAGGCTTCCCCGCTGAGCAGGGAGCCCGATGCGGGGCTCGATCCCAGGACCCTGGGATCATGACCTGAGCCGAAGGCAGTCGCTTAACGACTGAGCCACCCAGGCGCCCCTACTGTGAGGATTTTCTGAGTTAATATGCACTAAGGTGGCCCACAGGAAGCACTCACTAAATGTAAGCGACTGATATTCTGCCGGGAAAATGGATGGTAGGATGGAAGGAGTGTTACTGGGGGCAAGTAATTGTGATGATAGCAAGTAATATGTGACAGGCATTGTCGTAAGTCACAATTCTGTGAGGTAGTTCTTATTATTAAGGCTGCTTCTCAGATAAGGAAACTGAGGTTACGCGACTTAGCCATGTGACCTTGGGCAAGTTACTGAACATCTCTGTGCTTCGGTTTCCTCATCTGGCAAATTGTGATAATAGTCCCCAGGGCTGGAGTGGACTCAAGGAGGGGAGTTTTTCTTGGACAGCAGTTCTCCCTCCAACCCCCTTCCCTGGGTAACCTCTGCCCCCAAACTGTAATAGAAAGCATGTGCCTGGGAAGTAGGGGGAGTTGCACCCGTGTGCCCCTCCAACTCCCTCACTCGCCTTGTCTCGATGTCTAAATATCAGCCCCACAGGAGGCCGGTTTGCCCTCCTAATCTCCCTTGCTCATTCTTCACCATTTCCTACCGGGCTGTAGGCTGGGGCTGAAGAGATAAGCGGTCTGGGGTTCAGCATCGCTGACTAACAAACAGATTGACAGCCCCACTGCCCAGTAGCCTGGCCCTATGACCCTTTTGAAAACCCCAGTTCCACCCTTCTCTTTCCTTCCACTCTTTTCCTACCGGGACATTTTTTTTTTCGGTCCCAGTGGAAGAGGATCAAGTCTTAAGACCTTTAAACCTCCATGTGCACCAAAGAAAATGTGATACAGACTGAGGAACATTCTGGGGTTGTGATGCCTGCAGAGTAATAGAGAAGGGAGCCCTTTAAGACCCATGGCCCATTTTTCTGTATAATGAGAAGACAGATTCCTGAAGAGCAGAGGTCAGTAAACTTGTCTATAAAGGGCCAGATAGTAAATATTTTAGGCTTTGCAGGCCACATAATGGTCTCTGTGGCATATTCTTTCTTTTCCTTTAAAAATGAAGAGCCAGCAGGGCAGCTGGGTGGCTCAGTCAGTTAAGCGTCTGCCTTCCGCTTGGGTGGTGATCCCAGGGTCCTGGGATTGAGCCCTGCATCGGGCTCCCTGCTCAGTGGAGAGCCTGCTTTTCCCTCTCCCTCTGCTGCTCCCCCTGCTTGTGCTCTCTCTTTCTCTTTGTCAAATAAATAAATAAAATCTTTTTTAAAAATGAAGAAACCAGGGGCGCCTGGGTGGCTCAGTTGGTTAAGTGACTGCCTTCGGCTCAGGTCATGATCCTGGGGTCCTGGGATCGAGTCCCACATCGGGCTTCCCTTGCTCTGCGGGGAGCCTGCTTCTCTCTCTGCCTCTGCCTGCCACTCCCCCTGCTTGTGCTCTCTCTCTCTCTCTGTCAAATAAAGAAATAAAAATCTTAAAAAAAAAAAAAATGAAGAGACCAGCTGAAGTCTGGCTTTGGCCTGAAGGCTGTAGCTTTCTGATCCTGCTGTAGAATGTCAGTCTTTGGTTTCCTTTATCTGGCTGGGATTCTTTTACAGGATGAGTGCAGAGTTTCTATGCTTCCTGAAGAGAGGTATTCCCTTTGTGTAAGGACTGGGATTCATGGACAGGGTCAGGTCACTTCTGGTGTTTACGGGGTCAACCAGTGTTCCTGGACAGAGTGAGGATAGGGATTCCTGTAGTTTCTATAGTTTTGTTCCTTTCCTGAACCAAACAGGGATTTCTATACAGGACAAGACAGTTGTTTCTGGAGAGCTCCAGACTAGGAGTTCCCATACAAGTTCACGATGAGGCTCCTTAGACTGCGTTAAGAGTTTCCTATGGAGGGGTGCCTGGGTGGCTCAGTCATTGGGTGTCTGCCTTCGGCTCGGGTCATGATCCCAGCGTCCTGGGATCGAGCCCCACATCTGGGTCCCTGCTCGGTGGATAGCCTGCTTCTTCCTCTCCCTCTGCCTACTTGTGCTCGCTCTCTATCTCTCTGTCAAATAAATAAATAAATATCTTTTTTTTTAAAAAAAGAGTTTCCTATGGAGGGGCGCCTGGGTGGCTCAGTCGTTGGGTGTCTGCCTTCGGCTCAGGTCGTGATCCCGGGGTCCTGGGATCGAGCCCCGCGTCGGGCTCCCTGCTCGGCGGGAAGCCTGCTTCTCCCTCTCCCGCTCCCCCTGCTTGTGTTCCCTCTCTCGCTGTGTCTCTCTCTGTCAAATAAATAAATAAAATCTTTAAAAGAAAAAGAGAGAGTTTCCTATGAAGAGATCAGGTGGTCCAGTTCAGGGTCAGCACAGGTGTTTCTGTACAGGTTCAGAGCTATGTTAATGTAGACAGTAGGAACAGGTGTTCATGTCTAGATTCAATCAAATTGTTACTAATCGGGCTAAATTTTTTTAAAGATCTTAGTTATTTATTTATTTATTTGAAAGAGAGAGAGCAGGGGAAAGAGCAGAGGGAAAGGGACCACCAGACTCCATGTGGAGTATGGAGCCTGATGTGGGGCTTGATCTCACAACCCTGAGATCATGACCTGAGCAGAAATCAAGAGTCAGACGCTTAACGACTAAGCCACCCACGTGCCCCTGGGCTAAATTTTTTTGAAGATTTTATTTCTTGGAGAGAGAGAGCACGAGCAGCGTGAGAGGCAGAGGGAGAAGCAGACTCCCCGCTGAGCAGGGAGCCCGACGTGGGGCTCGATCCTGGCATTCTGGGATCATGACCTGAGCCGAAGGCAGATGCTTAACCGACTGAGCCGCCCAGGCACCCCAATTGGGCTAAATTATGCTAACTGCTGTAACAAACCCAGAATTTTAGAGGATTAACAAATAAGTGTTTATTTCTTACTCATATGAAGTCCAATGTGTATATTTATTACTGATCATTCAGGAACCCAGGCAACTTGCATTTTGTGGCTCTGCTCTCCTCTGAATCCTTGGAGTTCTCACTATTGAGCTGGTAGATGGGAAAAGAGAGAGTGAAGGATTCCTTGAGAGATTTTTATGGACCAGGCTTGGAAGTGGTGTATATCACTTTGCCCATACTCCATTGGTCAGAACTCTGTCACATGTCCACATCTCACTGTAAAGGAGGTCAGAAAAGTGAGTGAGCTTAGGAGAACACAGGTTTGAAGAGCCTGTAGCACTGCCTGCTACAGGATTCTATAGACCCCACAGAGCTGTTCTGTCCAATGTGGCAGCCACTATCCACAGGCAGAATAATGGTTCCTGTACAGTATGAGGGTGGGGCTTCTGGGACAAGGCTGGGGCCAGGGCTGTCAGACAGTTACATCAGGACATCCTGTTTGGGGTCAAGAGAATGTTTCCAGAAAGCAAGGTTAGGAGTTCCTATAAAGGATCAGGCCAGAGATTCCTGTGAGTGGAGTTAGGATTTCTTGTTGAGAGGAAAAGGTTTTCTATGGAGAGTCCAGTCAGAGGGTTCCAGTACAGTTGTAGGCAAGGCTTCCTGTAGGGGGTCAGGGCTGTGGAGCTAACACATGGTAAAGAGAGGAAGCCCTGTACAGTGTCTGCGTCGGGGGTCCTGTGCCAGGTGAGGCCGTAGGTACCTGTATAAGATGAGGTCTAGGCTTCAAGTAGAGGATCAGGACAGGCATCCCTGCCACAGGGTCAGGAAAGGTTTTTCTTTTTTACTTCTTTTTTTTTTTTTTAGGGAAGGGTTGTAAGTTCAAGACTGAGGTTGGTGTTAAGAGTTGGATTACAGGGGCGGGGGGGCGGGGCGGGCGGCGTGCCTGGCTGGCACAGTTGGTTAAGCATCAGATTCTTGGTTTCGGCTTAGGTTGTGATCTCAGGGTCCTAGGATGGAGCCCTGCATTGGGCTTCATGCTCAGCAGGGAGTCTGCTTAAGATTCTCTTCCTCTTCCCCTGCCCCTACACCCCACCCCCTGCACTTGCTCGTGCTCTCTCCTCTGTCTCTCTCTCTCTCAAAATCTTTTTTAAAAAAAAGAGTTGGATCATGGGTTCTTGTGGACTCTACAGGTTAGGGTGTGAGATCAGGGATTGTTGTGCAGAGTGACATCAGGGGTCATTGTCAACAATGGAGGCAAGAGCTTCTATATTCAATTGGAGTTCCTGAAGAGGTTGAGGATGGAGTTTCTGCAGAGAGAGTAGGTCAGTGGTTCAGAACTAGATTTTATTGTGACAGAAGTGTTTCTAAAATGCTATCTGGAGGGCTGAGCTCCAGTACAGTGTGAAGACAGAAGTGTCCTGTCCAAGGTCAAGGCAGGATTTCTGTAGAGAGATTGAGACTAGTGAAGAGGCTCAGGACAGGTTTCTCTTTTTTAAAGATTTTATTTATTTATTTGAGAGAGAGAGAGCACAAGATGTCCTTGAGGACATCTGCTTACCCCTACTATGTTCAGGATCTGAGGCAGAGGGGCAGAGGGAGAGGGAGAAGCAGACTCCCTGCTGAGCAGGGAGCCCAACATGGGGTTCTATCCCAGGACCCTGGAATCATGACCTGAGCCAAAGGCAGCAGCTTAACCGATTGAGCCACCCAGATGCCCTAGAATAGGTGTTTCTAAAGAGGTGGCACAAGGGCTTCCTTACAGTGTGAGCTCACAGATTCCTAACTGGGCTAAGTCCGAGGTTCCTGTGCCAGGGGAGGACAGGGCTTCTTCCGATGCAAGGTTAGGGCTGATACTCCTGTCCAGGGTCAGCATGGGTGTCCTGTTACTAATTAGAGAAAGGGTTCCCTTAGAGTGTCAGGCGAGGGCAGCTGTTCTGGGAGGCAAGGGCTGGGGCTCCTGAGCAAGGGCCAGGCACATGTCCAGCACAGGTTCTGAGAGGGGTTTCTGCTCAAGATGCGGACAGGGGCTCCTATAGGGTGAGAGGACTGGGGTTCTATGGGGTGGCCAGGCAGGCAGGAGGCTTTTACAAAGACCAGGGAAGTTCTGGACAACCCCTGTAATGAGCGTGGACTGCCGTGATTCTGCAGCGGGCCAGCATGGTGAGTAGCTGAAGGAGAGCTGTCCTTGAGGACATCTGCTTACCCCTACTATGTTCAGGATCTGAGGGCCCGCGGTCCTCATCTCTGGGGCTCTGGGGGAAAGCCATAAAGAGAAACAGCCCAAAAGCAAATTCAGATGTGAATGGATTGAGTGAATGATGAGAGCGAGAGAGAGCGAGAGAGAGGCAGCCCAGTTAAGTGTGAGCAAGACTCACGTGGGGGGAAGTTGCATCCAAAATCCACTCCTTAAACTCAGTGTGGTCAGGGCAAGTAATGCCAGTTCTGAGCCTTACTATTTCATTAGTAAAATGAAAATGTAAATTGCATAGTATACTTTCCTTTCCTTGGAGTGTTTTTTTTTTTTTTTTCAGGTGTTTATGAACCAAAGCAACTGAAGCTTCCCAGCCATTGCCCGGCCCAGAGTAAACACTCAGCAAATGGGGCTGTTTGCTATCAGGAGCTGCTGGGTAGTATGGACGCTAAGCCACGGAGCCTGGCTTTTCCCCCTGTCTCCCGCTGTGTGGCCTCCAGCGAGCCACTTAACCTCTCTGTCACCTGACTCCACACAGGCTCCTATGTAAGGGTTTTCCATTTTGGAAGAACAGATACCCCTCTGGGGCGGAGAAGTGGGCCCAGGTGAGTAGGTGCATTGGTGAGGGAGTTGGCCTTATGGGGAGGAGCTCCCCCACCTACGGGGTCTAAATATCACCCCCAGAAGCTATTTTGTCCTCCTAATCTTCCCCTCTCCTCTACCATTTCCCACAGAGCTGCAGGCCGAGCTGGGCCAAGAGAGATAAGAGATGACTGACAGGGAAGGCCCCCTGGACAACCCCCGTGGTCCCACACTGGCCATTCTGACCTTCTTGATGGCTCCCATTCCAGCCCCCCCCCTTCCTGTCCCGCACATGTCTTGTGTCTTCTGGAAGGGGGTCCCTAATGGAGGCCCAACTGAAACTCTGCATGTTGATACTTTGCATGAACAAGTACACACAGAGCTGCTCATGGCTGTCAGCCACTCAGAGACACTGTGGCCTGGCATACGCCACGTGATCTGCGCTCCCACATGCGTAGACGTGCAGAGAAATGCTGCCGTTACCCAACCCCCAGAGCTCCCCGGACGTGCAGACCCCCGCGGTCCCGCTGTTATAGCCTCCACACGCCCCTACACACAGCCTGCATTCAACATTCCAGAAGCGTCTGCTCCTGCTGTCGCCTGGTGTCACGCACCCTGTCTTGGAAAGCCTCACCCCCTCGGTCACACGCTGTATCTCACCCCATGGTGTGTGGCGACCCACGCCATCTCAGGCCACCCGGAGGCTGTCACATGCAGCTTCACGAACACTGTTCACAATCGCACGTCGCACCCCACAATCCTGAAGTGTCACATAGGCGGCCTCAGCTTCCCGTGGCCATACACTGCAGCCAGACACTGTCCTCAGAGACGCCCAGACATGCAACCTCCCTCCTGTTGTTCTTGATTCAGTCCCACACAGACTCACATCTCCGCTCTTAGGACTTTGGTGGTTTTATTTTACAAAAGCTTTGAAGGGCCAGGCCAGGGGATGGCTGGGGCCCAGAGGGTTGGGTTGTACTGACTGCTGGCTACATAGGAGAGGGACCCCACTGCCGCCCCGAGGCCATGCTCTGTGCTCTCAGGAACTCAGTGGAGCCACCACAGTGGTGGTGGTGGTGGGAGGAACGGGACCCGCGGGGAAGGAGCCTGCGGGGGAACCCAACAGGGGTCCCGGGAAAGGCATGAGGTGACTCACGGGCCCTGACAGCACCACGGGGCCCAGGCCTTGGTAGAGATGGGCAGCACTGGGTGGGCCCAACGTCAAGCCGGAGGCCACCTCCCCACAATTCCCACTCCCGCTGCCCCCGGCCACCACCATGAAGCCACCAGCCGGTCCTTCAGCTGCTCCTGTACCTCCCAGACTTGACCCTCGTTTCTTTTTCCCTTTTCCAGACGCTTTGCGGTTTCGAGTCTGGATACCATCCTTCCGCATAGTCAGTGGTCGGTTCACCTGCCCAAAGGGAGGCCGTGAGTGTTTCCCAACTCCAGATCTTTGCCTCTGTGTCTTGACCAGGGAGGCCATCTCCATCCCACCTCTTTAAGCATAGAGAATTGCTTCAGGGACTAGGGGAGCGTGACCCTGATATGGTGCGGGGATTGTCCTAAGGAATCCCAAGGTTGTGAGGCCCTGAGCTTGGGTAAGCCTCTGAGGCTGATGGAGCTGCCTCAGGTTTCAGGGCAGAGGGATGGAAGTTAGTGGATGGCTGGGAAGGAGGAGGAAGGAGATGGAGGAGGGAGGAGGGGCAGGAGGTCGTGGAAGGGTGTGAAGAGATGAAGGAAAAGGAGGAGGGAGGGATGAGGGCCAAGGAGGAGGGGAATAGAGAAGGAAGGAGGGGCAGAAAAGGTGGGGGAAAAAAGGGAGGGTTATGAGGGGAAGCAGAGGTGGGGGCAGAGCAGGGGAGGAGGGCAGTGGGACGACAGGAGGAGGGGGGAGGCTGGCGGGGGAACGGGCCAGGACAGACCTGGTGTAGCTTGTAGTAGAGGCCGCAGGCATTGCACACAGGGTCCCCACTGGCATTTCTCCGCCATAGCGTCGTGGTGGTTGTCTGGCAGTTGGTACACTGGGTACCCGCCCGTTTGCTGACAATCTGGGGGAGAGAGAACGTGAGGATCAGCCCCCTGGGGGGTGGGTGGAGGACTTGAGAGGTCAGGGTCAGGTTGAAGGCAGGGCTTCCCGTGCAGGGTAAGAACAGATGTACTCACAGGACGATGACTGTGGGTTCTGTATGGGGCAGGGCCTCCTGGCCGGGATAGGGGATTTTGGTATTGGGGGTGGGACTCCACCAGTGATTCCCAACTTTGACCATACATTGGAATCACTCAGGGAGTCGAAGGCAATCCTGACGCCCAGGCAGCACCCTAGGCCAATGAAATCTACACATCTAGGGGAGGGCGCCAGGCCCCGGTGGTTCAGGGTGTCCTAAGGTGAGGCCTGTGTGAAGCCAAGGAGGAAAACACTGCTGCGCAGGGACAGGACGGGTTCCCCGCATGTAGCCTATGAAGGTAGGTTGAGGATAGGCATTCCTATGCAAAGCTGGGTGCCTGCATGGCTGGGGAAGGGATGGGTGGGGGGCGTATGGGTTCTCGTGGAGCAGGAGGACCGGGGTCCCTGTACGGGCCGAGAACAGCAGTTCCTGGGGCAGGGGAGGCGGGCCTGGGGTCTTACCAGGCGCTTCTTAGGCCGGATGAGGGGCCTGTTCTGGCCATTCATCTTGTGATAGAGGCCGCAGGCATTGCATAGGTAGTGGCCCGTCCTGTCCCGCCGCCACAGGGGAGTGGCTGTTGCTCCGCAGTTCACACACTCCCTGGCCTCTGATGGGGCGGACAGAGGGGATGGGGGAGCCCAGGCTCAGCCCAGCTTGGCCTTGGACGCCCCCCCACCTCAGCCTCCCCGTCCCTTTTTGGGGACCTCACCACAGGGGGGCAAGGGCAGTGTCCCACGAAGCTTGGGGGAGGAATAGGCCGCTGGATTGAGGGGGCTCCCAGTGGGAGAAAAGAAGGTACTGGAAAAGTCAGGACCCCCGTAGGCACTGCTGGGGACAGGGATGGATGAAGGCAGCGCAGGCCCCAGCGTCAAGAGGTCTGGACTTAGCCTCTCTGTCTTTAAGGTCTCCAGGAAGCTGCTGCCGCCTTTCCCATCAGGGTCTTCCGGGGCCTGGGGAGGGGAGTCCTCGCGGGTGGGGCACACGGTCGAGGCAGGATAGAGCCCTGTCTTGCCGTAGGTCCAGCCGGCGTAGGGTGAGCCCCCTGGGATCCCCTCCATACAGTTGAGCAGTGGGTACACCTGAAAGACTTATTAGGGAGGGGGGTATGGGAAGGAAGGAGGGATCAGTCTAAAGCCGTCCCGCCTTCAGGGCGCAGTGCTGCCCCACAGCTCCAAGGGAGCAGCCAAGTCTCCAGTCTTCCCACAGGCTACCGGAACAGCTGCTGGCCGTCGGGTAACTCCTGGGTCCCGAGCCCCACCGGTCACTCTGGCAGCTGCGGTAACCTCCACCCGTTTCCAAAGGGGCTTTGAGGATGCCCGTTGGGGTTCGGAGCCCCATGGGTCCCTTGACAACTAGGGCCACCACCACCCACTTCCAATGTTGCTTTCCAATATGGCTACCCCAAGATGGCAGACCGGGAACATTGGCATTCCCAGGTCTGGGCTCAACTGGGGGAAGTGGCCATGTTCAAGGTGACCTCTTGGTGGGATTCTGCCCTAGCTAAGGGTCACCATGGCAGCCTGTGCTAAGACAGCCACCCAAAGGAGTTACCTGGGGAGTGCCTGTAGGCCTCGGCATCCCTGTAGTAGGCCAGAGCCGCAGCTGCAGCCGTGGCGGTGCTGGGGGCCGTGGAGGAGGCTGCTGCATCCAAGCCCTCTGACCCAGAGGGGAAGAAGACCCCCGACTCTGGTGGCGAGGATACCAAAGCCGGGTCCACAAACTGGGGCAGGGGCTCTGAGGTCCCCAGGGCCCCTAGGCCAGGGAACTCCATGGGGCCTCGGGTGGGACCTGTGAGGAAGGGAGAGGTCCTCAGACTCCAAACTCCTCCTCCCCTCCCACGCCACCCCTCCCCTCCTTTCTCCTTCTCCAACTCCATTCCCTCAGTCTTCATAGCCCTCTTTTCCTCCCCTGATTTCTCCCTGTCTTCCCCTCCATCATCCCCTCCTTCCTTCTATTCCCTCTTCTCTCCTTCTGCTTCCCTTTCTTCTCTCACCCTCCTCCCATCTCTTCTTTTCCCTCCTCCCACAACTCCCCTTCTTTCCCCTCTCCTCTTCCCCCCCTTGCTCCTCTTCCCACTCCTTCTTCTCCCTCCTCTCCGGCCCCTCATCCCCTCATTCTCTCTTTCCCCAGTCCTCCTCCTCTTCTCTATCTCCACCTATTCACCTCCTCCTCTTCCTCCTCTTTAAGTCAGCCACCTCTTCCTCCTTTCCCCTTTCTATATCTCCTCCCCTCCTCATTTTCTCTTTCCCTTCTGCGTGTCCCCCTTCCCCCTCTCCTCCCCTCCTTTTCCTTTATCCTTCTCCTCTCCCTCCCTTTCTGCTCATCACTTTCTCCTCTCCTCATTTTCTCCCCCTCTTCCTCCTCTTCTCTCCCTCTAGAGGAGCCTGGGTGGGATGGGCTGGGGTGCAGAGCTAGAGTCCCTTGAGCCACTTGTCACCCCTGGGACCTTGGGGTTTACCCTCTTGTGCTCCCCAACTTCATCCCTATCTGTTGCATATTTTAACTTTCTCAGAAACCCATGGTTTCCGGCTTGACTCCTCCCTCCCCCCACCTCCGTTGGGTCTGCAGACAGAGGGCCCCCTCAGTTCCTCCCTGCTTCATGGGGGGGGTCAGTACCCCCCACGGCTTATCTCTGCCATCCCCGCCCAACTTTTGAAATCACCCCAAGGCTACTGGCTTCCTCTGAGGAGGGGGACAGGTCTGCCCTGGGGAGGCCTACCATAGTTCTGCTTTCAGGTTCCTTCAGTTCCAGCCAGCCCCAGGCCTCAGTTTCCCCATCTGCCAGATAGGAGGTGGTGACAGGGGCCCAGCTAAGACCTGTGAGGTGGCAGCTTCATCTTTGCCCCTTTGTCTCTGGCTTTCCCTGTGTGTGTATCTATGTCCCCGCGTCTCTCTCCTCGTGACACTCTCTCCTGCCCAGCCTGGCCCTCGATATTTCTGTCCCATCTTTCTATGCTACCATGATATGTCTTGTCCTCTCTCTTTCCCTGTTTTTTTTTTTTTTAACTTATTTGACAGAAAGATAGAGAGAGAGTACAAGTAGGCAGAGTGGCAGGCAGAAGGAGAGGGGGAAGCAGGCTCCCTGCTGAGCAGGGAGCCCGATGCGGGGCTTAATCCCAGGACCCTGGGACCATGACCCGAGCCGAAGGCAGACACTTAACCGACTGAGCCACCCAGGTGCCCCTCTCTTTCTCTGCTTTAACGAGTGCCTAATTTTTCCCTTTCCTTTCTCCGGCTTCCCATGTCTCTATCTCTGGTTGTCTTTCTTTATCTCCGTGTCTTTCAACTCTTTCTGATTCACTTCTCCCTCCATCTCCAGTCATGTCTCTGAATGTCTCTACATCTCTCCCACTCAGTCTCTTTCGGCTTGTTTGTCTCTTCTCTCTCTCTCTTTCTGCCCTCTGGCTTTATTTCCATGTCTGTCTTACTAGTCCCACATCCTTGCCCATACCCCACTACACACAGCCCGGGTGAGGAGCCAGAAAACCTACCCTTGCCCCTAACTTGCCCTATGAATCTGAAGGCCTCAGTTTCCCTGTCCTTGGGATGGAGTAACAGAGATAGAGTAGAAGGCCATCTTCACAGCCCTAGCCTACGTGACCCACTGTGTGAACACGCTGAAGGTTGGGCTCAGGGTTGGGGGTTGTGCGGGCAAAGAGAGGAGCCCGTGGCTGTGTCTCTCACCAGCCTCATCCAGGCCGCAGGATCTCCTCTGACTCTCCCCGGAGTGGGTGTCTTGCCTCCTCCTCTATTTCCATCTCTTTTCCTCTGTGTGTCTCCATGATTCTTTCTATCTGTGAGGCTCTCTCTTTCTGCATTCGTGTCTTGCTCTCTTTCTGTTCCTGGGTCTCTTTCACTTTCCTGCTATCTCTCTGTTTCTCCTTCCTTTTTTTTTTTTAATATTTTATTTATTTATTTGACACAGAGAGACAACAGCGAAAGAGGGAACGCAAAAAGGGGGAGTGGGAGAGGGAGAAGCAGGCTTCCCACTGAGCAGGGAGCCCGACGCGGGGCTCGATCCCAGGACCCTGGGACCATGACCTGAGCTGAAGGCAGACGCCTAACAACTGAGCCACCCAGGTGGCCCTCTGTTTCTCCTTTCTTTTTCTTCCTGTCTGTCCCTTGCTCTTTGTCTCTCTTTTTCTCCCTTTCTCTCTGTTTCTCTCTTCCTTCTCTGTCTCTTGTTCTTTTTGTCTCTGTCACCACTGTTCCTTTATCCCCCCTCATCCTCACCTCCCCCCTCCCCCCCAATGATCTCCCTTCAGTCCCACTGCCCCACATCCTTGTGCCTAGCACCTTGGCGGGTCCAGGGCTGCCCACCCCTCCTATGGCAGGGGCCCAGCCCCCCCAGCCCCAGTTATCACTCTCCGGACAGAGATAAAGTTTATCTCGAGGCTGGGGGATATGAAAGCTCCTTATCAGCTGCCCCACTAGAGTAAGTGCCGCCCTAACGGGCAGCAGCAGCAGGCCGGCACCCTCAACTCTCCCAAGGCCCAGCCCCTCACCCCAGGTAACATCCCTGTCCCAGCCCTC